GAATATTATAGGTGTGTAAACTCAGCAAAATATTCTAAAAGAGTCCAGTAGCCCATAATAGCATTGGGTCTTCTGTTCAACTGGCAATGTCAGAAATTATTGACCTGAGTCCCCCACAGCTCAACATAACAATGTACAAATTATTGAAACTGTCCTATTAATTGGTTTTGAACCTGTCTTATTATTGTTCCTCAATCAAAATTTTTAAAAAATGTATAAATATCTTCAAGATATCTCATCTATTTCTGTGGTGTCCATTGCTATTTTAGCCTGTCCCTATGACCTGTGAAATGTTTGATCTTTCAGACGGAGCCCCGTTTACCTGGTGGATTGGGAGGTCCAGTGAAAAGCATCCTTACTGGGGAGGCTCTCTCCCTGGGGTCCAACGGTGTGCGTGTGGCCTGGAGGAGAGCTGCCTGGACATTGGACACTTCTGCAATTGTGATGCGGACCTGGATGAGTGGTAAGGCGAGCCCGGCCCTGCCACAGTGGCAGAGGAAGGCGTAGATGAACACATAGATTTCCGCAAAGAGAGAAGGGTGTGGATGGGAAAGTCAGTATGAACTAGGACGCTTTCATGCCTGTGATTGCTTTTAATTTTGGAAATGGCCAGTTCTCCTGCTTTGAGGCCTGCTAGGGAGGTTTCTAACGTGAAGGCATGTGGTTATAACATTACGTCCTTGTGTTCCAGTCCTCTATTTCAAGCAAATATTTTAATGCAGTGTTAAGCATTGAGTTTGAGCCAGTTTTTCAATGATACAATAAAGAATTAAAGTAAGAAATTTATCTTTATTGATGAATTTAATAAATCCTCACAGCCGTCTTTGCATTGTTGTTTTATTTTCTGACTTTTGTATTTAAAAGTCAAAAGATAGGGGCGAAATAACAAACGTCTAAGATCACACACATTTATTTTATGATAGATTCATATTGTGAACTCGGGTCCACCCATAGCATCTTATATTTTTCAAACCTAACTTTTCTGGAAAGTGAAGTTTAGCGTTAAGTTCTCATGCCCATTACATCTGTGTCCTCTGCCTTTCCACTATATTATTTGTTCTTCACTGGCTTGAAAATAAAAATATGCACAGAAGATTTCTACACATGCTTTGTTTTTTAATTAGTGTAGGGCCTTTTGGTTTTTCCTAATGCAATTTTGTTTGCTCCGTTATAATTTTAAGAATTCCTATGCCAAATCGCTCTCTACTCATGAAAGATTTCTTTTTAGAACAGTCAATTTGTTCCCTGTTCTAGTTGTTTTCTGCAGGGACTGAATGATAAGGTTGAGTCACAACCTCAGTTCAGCAAAGAAAGTAGTAGGCCTAGAGTTCCAACGAGTTCTAGAAGAAGCAGAGCAAAACTTTGGAATGTTACAGGGCTGCTTTGGGCCACAGGTCAGATCACCTGGGTGTCTTCTCACTCTTTGCACTTTGTTTGGTTAAAATCAGGTGAACGTGACTAGAGGGAAGCTGCCCCTCTGTCTTGCTTGAATCCCCCACATTTTCCTGCAGGGTATTCTAGCACAGTATACTCTAGCTTGTACTTTTATTTCCAGAGTACTTCATATGCCTGTGTAATCTATCCCAAATTCTAAAAGAAGATCGTCCAAACCAAAGGTTCCGCAAAACCATGATTTAACAACTTGTTCTGAAACTAAAATGAAGCCTGAAATGATAAAAGCATTGTAACCCACAAAATAAGGGAACTGAGCAAGCCAAGTAATGTCCAAGAGCATTTATGAAAAGAAGAAAAATAAAAGGACAAGTATATACCCAATAGTGATTCTTCACCCCAATACAAATGGCAGCAAATTGCTACTTAAAGATGAAACAGTTAAGCCAATTTTTTTTGAAAAATGTATTTCTAGAGTCAATCCTGTCTTGACAGTATCATTTTTCAGGCCCTTACTTGTGTATTTCCACTGTTGTCCATAAGTATCCTGATAAAATTCCTGGTTGTCCTTATTGTAACCATAGTTACCAGAATAGTCACCACCTTGCTGAATTGGCTGCTGAGCAATGGGTTGGGAACCCCAGTTCTGCTGGTTGTTGGTCTGACGATGCTTGGAATCAGGTTGGTTGTACCCATCTGCCTTTCTCTTGCTTCCTGCATTTCCCCCACGATTGCCCTGAGCTCCACGGGAACCACGGCCTCTCTGCTGTGGTGCAGGACCCCCTCTGCCACCCCAGAGCCTCTTGCAGTCCCAAAGGTGCCCCCCTCTGTGAATAGCCAACTCTACCTCTTGGCAGTGGTGCTCCCTGTCCCCTCGGTGGTGGTGGAGCACCTCGCCCTCGCCTTTCTCCTCCTCTTCCTCTTACTGCATATCTCTCATCATAGCCATAATAAGGATCTTCATAGCCTCCATGTTAGTCATGGTAATCATAACCATAATAATCATCATAGTAATCTTCATCGCCATAATAATCTGGAGGGTAGCCATATCCACCTCTACCTCCACCATGATCTCAACCTCTAATTGGAGATGGCATTCAAAAAGGAGGGTGATAGTAATAATCTTCATGCACAGTACTTCAGGAGGCCTGTCTAGCTGTGTGGCGCTCTTTCCTTTTCTTGTCTGGTGGTTCAGCTAAGACTACTTCAATTTCTCCCCCTTCTACTTCTCTTCCATTCATTTTATCTATAGTCTTAACAGCAGCTCTTCTGTCTTCAAAATGAGCAAATGCATAATCTTTCAACACCTTTACTCTTTCCAGTTTTCCAAATTCAGAAAATGGCTTTTCTAATATTTCTTCTGTCACTGTATTAGCCAAGCTTCTCACAAATAAAGCTTTCACCTTTGCCATGACTTCTGGACCTGGTTCTTCCACAGGGTCAGTGTATTCAACTGTAACTGCATTTCCCCACACTTTTCCTTTCCACTCATCAGCCGACGTCTGCTTGTGCTGCTGACTTGTGATCCTCATAATCAAGGAGCAGAACCCTCGATTCTTCTTTTTGTCATTGGATTGATGATATAGAATAGCATCCACCAAACCCTCTGTTACTTTACTGAATTCTTCCAGAATATTTTCCTTAGTCTTATTCTTCAGGATGGATCCAACAAAAAGTCTGTTGTTTGCCACAGAAATACACACTCCAAGGTGTTTCCCAGGGTGAGTTCCGTAGCTGTCACACAGTTTAACAGCTTCCTGTGCAACTTCCTTTCCACAGGTGATCAGTGTATACCCTCAGTTCTAACCAGACAGTGGCTCCATCATCATGGGACCAGCCTTTTCAAAAAGGGGAACCAACTCATCCTCATATAGATCCCTTGGTATTTTACCTACAAGACTTCTGTCCCAACTCCAGGCTGCACATCGGAGTGCATGCTGTCTGCTGGAGGACCACCACACTTCTTTTGCCCTGTTGTTAGGTCCAGAGTATAACCAGTCCTTCCAAGTAAGGCCTTGATCTCTGCTTCACCAGCTCCCTTTGTGGACTCTGGCACTCTGCTGCCCTGTTTCTCTTTCCTGTAGTCTTCATAACTCCACGTGCAAATGTACGTTTGTTTGCAACATGTGATAAGTCACTTTCCTTGAACTGCTGCAGCACAGACAGAGCTCCTTCTTCATTAAACTCCCTGAGAGCATCAATTGCTTTCTTCAAGATCCACATAATATACCAATCCTGTCCTAGCATGTTGGGAGCTTGGAGAAGTTGTTCCTTAAGATTTTGCGCTTAGTCCTCAGCAATCCAGACACTCCATCTGTCCAGCTAAGAAAGAAGGAAGGTTATCTACTGATCAGGTGGTAGCAGACCTTGGTATCACCCATGTGGTGCAAGTTTTAGGCTCATGCAGAATGCAAGAGCTGTGGGGTCAAGAAGGCTTCAACCTAGATTTTGGAGAAGGTTGGGGAGGCCAAGCAGTGTGGCCTTGAGAGGGTAGTGTGTAAATCTGTAAGTGTGGAGCTGAAAAGTTATGGGCTCCAGAATGTTGGAGAAGCCTGGAGGGTGGATGGATCATCTGAGCAAAACTGCAATGAGGGATCAAATCAGCCAAAGAGAGCAGCCATGGGAGCTGCAACCACAGGAAGTGCAGTAGGGATGTAGCCATCTAAGCGCTGTGGAGTTCACCTCTTGCCACAGACTGCTTCCAAAGCTGGACATGGATTTCTGAGATGTAATGTTTGCCCTCCTTTGTTCCCATTTCTTCCTACCTCCTTCTTTGTATCTTTTAGAGTGAAAATGTCTGTTATCTGCCATTATGTGTTGAAGTGTTTAACTTTCTTTTAACACAGAAGCTTGTAGCAAAGAGTTTTCCTTAAATGTCAAAGAGACTTTAGATTTGAACTTTTTAGCGACGCTGAAACTGTTAGAACTTTGACAACTCTTAGGAGGTGGACTAAATGTATGTTTTGGGAAGAAATCTAGATAAGAATCATAATATTCCATACCTGGCTTCCTAAAGACTCCTGTACATCCCTTTATGCCAAAGGCCCTTAAATCATCTCCTAAGAGATGTGATTTACCCCTGAACCCCCCATTTTTCATATCTTGGGGAAATGTCTAGGTGAGCAAAAATCAGGAAGTTCCTTCGATCATAATCCTAAAGGAACAGAAGCTGTGACTGATTTAATGCCTCTGGATTTCATTCACTATCAAAGGAAAATGCATATCCTATGATAAATGGTTTTGGTGAGCAACTTGTCATAGAAGCGGTTGTGCACACTAAGTTGTGTGACATTTACTCCTTCATTACTGATCCAGTGAGAGCTTGCTCCGTGTTGTCAGAAGCATGCCAACACAGTCTGTGGCATCAGGGCTCTTGTCCTGCACGAGCCCTTAGGCCAGTAAAGAAGAAAAGGCCAGATAGTAGCGCATGGGCCATTGGGATACATTTGGTAACAGCGACAGGAACTGTTGTGCAAAGAACTGGGATAGACCTAGGGTTGGAAAGTCAGATTTAGAAAGAATCAGAAAGGTTTTGAAGAAACAGATGTTATCCAATGGGATAAAAATTGTTACGCAGCAAGAGGGAAGTTGTGTGCTTACGCAGAGAAAAGCAAAGTAATATTAAAATTACTACTTCTCAAAACCACATACATATTGGTATGATTGCTACATATTTTTACATGGGAAGTTTACAGGTGAACCTTGGGGAAGAAGGGTGAGTTCGGGTAGTGAGCCTCTTCATATTGGAGATAGTAATAAGCCAGCTCTGTCCGTGCAAGGACTGCAGAAAGCAGCGTACACTTCGCCGAGCAATGTGGTAGAAGCTTGTACGATGACTCATTACTAATCTACTCACCTCTATTACTGACTGCAAAAAGGAAAAGTGCAAAACCTGACACAAAGGTGAAATAGTTAATCAGATCCAATGTTCCTTCACCCACAGTTTTGGTCAAAATACAGTCAAGCTGCCTTTCCACATATTTAAAATTTTTGTTTCAGATCAGCATGTACCTTTTATTATTGTGAATGCCCTGACTGTACCTAAGAAACCTCACACAGCTTTGCCTGGTG